GAAAATAATGTGCATTTCCTGTGCTAGCGGTTTGATGCTACTTTTATGTGCACCTGTAATATATCTAAACTTGATAGGGTTTTTATGTAGTTTAGGTAAAGCATATATGATGGGTAGATCTGCATCTACAAATGTGTTAATATTATTTCTCACACAGAGGAATTTGTGTTTCAATATCAACGAGTACTTGTTGTTGCATTGTACTGGTTCATATGTATTATTGGTGTTTTCCTTAACAGAGATGTGGTTGTTAATATCATAGGTAATGCCCATTTCCTTCATTATGGTCAGTAAGTAGAACTTTTTGCAAACTATGCCATAATTATTATTAGCTTTATCCAGGGGACAAAACACATAACTGTTTTGATATCGTTTTATTAACTCGTATGGTATGTACTCCCCTTTATTTTGGATGTTATCCTTTGTTAATATGGGCTTTATTTTATCATGGTAACATGTGTGTAGATATTGTTGCAGAAGATCTACTTGTTGCGTGTTAGCCTTTATACTTGTTTTTGAAATAAGAAATAGCTTTGTTAACTGTGTCTTCATATATTTGTTTGACTTCTGGTCTGGTTATGCCATTGTCCAATCTATATCTAGTTCCTTTGCTCATAATTCTTTTGAGCTTCTCTTCTTTTATTATGTTCAGATCTCCTGTTACAATGTGTCCATGCTTATCATTTACATATTCTTGTACTGTGTCCTCAATACAAGCACAGTTTCTATTGATTATGTCTTCTAATTCTTCGTTGGTAAGATCTTTCAATACTTGTTATAATTGTATATTCTACTTGCTACTGGATTATTGTACTTATATACGATTCTGATGGGTGTGTATTCGATTGTATTTCTTCTATTCTTAAGCAGTATATCTTTGACAGTGTGTGAGTTGAATATTCTGTTGAAGGGTATTTCGTTGAAAATCCTGCTTTTGAAGCTAACTTCTATATTGTGGAAGTTCTTTTTTGAAGTTTTGACATTAACTGTGTCAAAATGAAAATGAGCCAGTAGGCAAAATATGAGGTATCTTGTTTTGTTATTAACTGTTTCAAGAAAGTCTACTGACTTGGATAGATTTACTATCTTGTCGATTTCTTTTCTTCGTAGACTTTTGAGTAACCTGTAGTATTGTACAGGCTTGAACTCTCCATTACTATTGGTGATTTCTTCCAAAGCTCTTTGGAAAGTTATCCCTTTGTTCTTTCTTTTGTGTCTTGTTCCTCTGTTATTTCTTTCCTTAGTTATTTTTAGTGAGTAGAAGGGATGGTTTCCCTTATATAAGAGAGGATTATCCACGTTTGTCATGTTTCCATACCCTTTAATGTTGTCATTTAAACCAAAGGGATATGGTGTCATCAAAAGTTTAATCCAGAATAATTCTTTCTCAAGTAAACTGGTTTTATCATTAGGCTTCATAGAGTCAAGTATAGTTACAGTGATTCCTTTATCACATTTATAAAAATGATTATATAGGGGTGTGTGTACTTTATGTGTAAAAATATTTGTAATGTGTTCTCCAATTCTTTCTTTAAGTTTCCTTATTGTCATCCCGACATATTGTATTCCACAGCCATTGCATGTTAAACAGTATATAACATTTCCTTGTGTTACAGTTTGTATCTGCTTCCTTATAGGTATTGATGTGTAATCCTGTCACATGCGATATAATGAATTGTCAGTATTGGTAATACTGCATGTTCTACATTTTTTGTTACATTTGCAACCCTTATTGTTGTTTCCAAAATCTTTTAGTATGTAATGGTCAAACCCGTCCCTTACCTTACTAAAATTTGTTTTTGTGAAGTAATTAGCGGATTTTTGAGCATTTTTTGACCTAGATCTAAGCGCACGCGCGGCCAAACACGTGTGCAGAGGGGTGTCTTACTTCGTATAGCATACATTATAGATCAATCATGATAATTTTATCTAACACAGAGGTTGCAGGGTCAGCCAGAGGTGGGCGGAAGTGGTGTAGTGACAAGTGGCGCGCTCACCACGCGAGCGGTCCGGGGATCAAATCCTGGGTCGTGAGTCGCCCGGGCCAACCAAGCCTTCCATCCCTCCGGGGTCGGTTAATTGGTACCAGACTTGTCTGGGAGGATAAAAAAACTGACTTACATCGGCTGGCCCCCGCAAGTCATTGTATAGGCCACATCGCATTCAAATGCCACTGCGAATGTACAAATGGAAGTAGAAACGTGCGGCATCCCAAAAGGGATTGATGGCGGCAAATGCTTTATCCTTTATGATCACATTTGAAGGCGGCAGATTCCCGTAAGCTACATTCAAGCAATTCTGAAGGTTTGAGCAGTCGGAAAATGTGGCTTTTCTAATAAGGCTAGCCATGGATTCAGAGCCTGAACTTGCAATAAAAACACATAAAAGATAATATAATCGCATTGATAAAATGGTAGACCTGAATGAATCTTAACACAATATTAATTTAGGGGCTCGATGAGGCAGAGGTAGCCGAGTGGTTAAGAGGTTAGACTCCATTACTGGAACCGCGAGCTCGATTCCTGCCGAGCTTAACCTGTGCCTTATAGAAACTGCAAAAAAGGCCCTATTACCAGCGTCAGGCCCAGATTGACAGGCTGATGAGACCGCCTTCAAGAACAATCAATGTTCGAAAGTCGCGAAGATCAGTGGTTCATTGCCGGACGATAAGCTAGGACGTCACCCGGAAGTGGCGCGCAGAACCCCCGCCCGAGTTCTGTGGTCAGTATGCGAGGGCTACCGAGGAGTGAACGGCCTCGGCCAAAGAAGCTAGTTCGAATAGGGACTCTGAACGTAGGATCGCTAACTGGGAAGTCCCGAGAGGTTGCTGATCTGATGACGCGCAGGAATATCCAAGTCCTATGCCTTCAGGAGACGCGATGGAAAGGTGCTAAGGCCAGGGAAATCGGGGAAGGTGTCAAACTCTACTACAATGGAGAAGACACCAAGCGGAACGGTGTGGCCATAGCGGTAGCGGAGTCGCTCTCGGACTGTCTCCGCAGTGAACAGGAAGGCGACCTCACCATAGCAGGTGATCTGAATGGCCACGTCGGCAGTGACAGAAGAGGCCTGGAAAGGGTGCACGGAGGTAGAGGAATAGGAGTGAGGAACGCCGAGGGAGAGAGGGTCCTGGACCTGGCTACGGCCCACGATCTGGCAATCTGCAGCACGTTCTTCGCGAAAAGGGAGACTCAGAAGGTCACCTACAGCAGTGGAGGGAGACAAACGGAAATCGACCATGTGCTGGTAAGAAGATCATCCCTCAAGAACTGTGAAGGGTACTCCCTGGCGAAGAACTGGCTCCCCAGCACAGGCCCTCCTGGCAGACATAGCCATGGACCTCCCCAAGAAGACAAGGGTAAGAACCGAGAGGAGAATCCGGTGGTGGAAGTTGCACCAAGCAGAGAAGAGCGACCTCAAGGAGATGGAAGAATGGAGAAGCAGGGAGTGGAACGTGCCAGAACACCTGATCTCTCTGGTGAAGGACATGTACGATGGGGCGAAGGCATACGCACCCCACACGGCCTAACGAAGGAGGTGGACATCACGGTTGGGGTGCACCAAGGGTCAGCTCTGAGCCCGTTCCTCTTCCTCCTAACACTAGATGTCCTGGTGAAGGGGCTCATGGAAGGACCACTGAAGACCATCCTCTACGCTGACATCGCCTTGATAGCGGATAGCAGAGAGGAACTTCAAGCCAAGGTGCAGAAATGGCAGAAAGTCCTGGCAGAAGGTGGGCTACGGCTGAATGTCAAGAAGACCAAGTTCCTGAGGAAGAGGGTGCAGAGCCGATCGTAGACGGCCATGGTGAGACCATCGAAAGAGTGGAGGACTTCCGATACCTTGGGAGCGATCTGGCAGCCGACGGTAGTGTGGATCAGGCGGTGAAGGCTCGGGTCAACGCTGCATGGATGAAATGGAGGGAGTCCACTGGAATCCTCTGCGATCGAAGGTGCTCCAGAGCGCTCAAAGGGAAGGTGTACCGGACAGTGGTAAGGCCTGCGATGCTCTACGGCAGCGAGTGCTGGCCCCTGAACAAGAACCACGAAAGGCAGCTTCACTCCGCTGAAATGAGGATGCTGAGATGGGCCTGCGGCTGGACGCGGCTGGACAGGGTTAGAAACGAGGATGTCAGAGCGGTCATGCAGACTGCCCCTGTCCAGCTGAAGGTACGGGAACAGCGTCTGCGATGGTATGGGCATGTGCTAAGGAGGCCACAGGACCATCCGATAAGAACAGCGATGGACTTCGAAGTGCAAGGCAAGGAGCCCCGAAGAAGAGGTGGAAAGACGTAATCAAGAAGGACCTAGGTGAGGTCACGGCCACGATGGAAGATGCCCTGGACAGAGCAAAGTGGCGACGACTGACAAAACAGCGGACCCTGCGACTGCGCGGGACTAACGCTAGGGAGAAGAAGAAGAAGAAGAAGAATAAGAAAAAGAAGCAGTTTAGGGCAAGTGGCAAGGGCGCATGACAGTCTGAGAGAGTGAGCGAGACACGATCCACAAACACGGTCTGTGGATCGTGTCTCGTTTGAGCTCATAGCGTCTATTATTTTTTTCAAGCACACTGTTCAATATTACATTTTGTCAGGAATAATGGCAGTGCTCGGCACTGCGTTGAGCGCCATTTTGAACTGACAATCGATGTGTAGGCTTTGGATTTCCTTTATGGTGTTGAACAGCTGAAGTTACGCAGTCCACTGTTTCGAAGAAGATTCTACTCAAGCAGACCTTAACTAATTCCTATCCCAGTCTTTATGTTCTGTGACGAAGAAATACAGAAGGCCAATAGGAGAGTTTATTGAGGAAAAAAAACAAACAGAAAAATGAACAGATTTATACAAGCTTAATAGGAAACAAAACGCTTCATGAAAGCCTTGTGCATCCCTGTGCGTGAGATATTCAACATATTAAAGTGAATCAAGTGAATTCTTATGCTGTTTTTGTAAAATGCAGACTGCTGTGTACATGTGCGGAGTGCTTTCGACAAACGAGCGACTAGAGCGCGAGCTTCAATAGAAGCATGAGACCGGCCGAGAGAAGTCCTGAAAAAATTAGGTATCAATCTATTTTTGAAAACCACTTGGTGTGTCAGTTTGTCACATTTTCTCTGCTCGTCACAAAATTCCCCGATTATATCTGAAGCTGTCAGCGGGATAAATCAGCCGTTAGTAAGCTGAAATGCTTCTTGATGGTAGACTCGCCTGTTAGAACACCGACTCCGGGTCCCACAAAACAGAGAATGGACTAAATGGTATTCCCATACAGTCTAAATGGCGGAAGAATGCGTGGAGCATTCCGAAAGGGGCTGACTACCGCATCAATTCTAATCCTATGTACAGGGGGGGGGGCAAAAAAAAAGACATTTTGCCTATGTCGGACTTCGGCTCTTTTTTCTTCGCAGAGATTGCTGTCGTTGACGGGAGTTCCTCAGCAGAGTATTCCCTAAGTGTTCCTCTATTAGTGTACGCAGGCTCTCCTTCACTGCCCTCACCGTCTTCAGAATATGACGTCATCTGTCACCGTCGTCAGGCTCAAGGAGGTCTACCGTAAGAGCTTCAGCCTGAAGCTCTTACGCAATTTCGTGAATCGATTTAATGTTGGATAGTTTTCTAGAGGCATTAGCTACCACTATGCAAATCCCCTCGGAACTAGCTTTCCAGTAAGGTCGTTATGGTACACGATCCTTCGAAGACCCCATTGAGCTCGACCAGTGCACCATGTTTCCAGGGCAAATTCTTCTGATGCCGTCCACGTAGGTGGCCACTATGAAGATTTTCTTATAGAATGAAATGCTCTTCAATAATAAGTTGGGACCATTCGGTCTGAATTGAGCAAAATGTGCTTAAATCCATCTGGAAGTGGAGACAAAATGTCTTTTTTTATTGCCCCCCCCCCTGTATATCTGTTTTGTCCTTCTTCTTCTTCTTATTCTTTAGCGTTTGTCCCGCTTGTTGGCGGGGTCCGCTTTTCTGACGCCACTTTTCCCGATTAAATGCTTGGTCGGGGTGGATGTTAACCGACTTCAAGTCTGTGTGCAACGTATCGAGCCAGCGCTGTTTCGGGCGTCCCTTAGGCCGACGTCAAACTTTGCGATTCGATTAGCGAATCGCTAATCGAATCGCAAAGTAGACGTCGGCCTCAGGCCGCTTTCCGGCACGTCAAGGTTGAGACCTGATCTTACGGACACTGTCATCTTTTGCGCGAAGAACATGACCATACCATCGAAGACGGGCTTCGCGCATCTTGTCAACAATCGGAGCCACACCGAATCGCTCTCTGATGACATCGTTTCGAATGCGTCGTGTGACTCCGGCTGTCCAGCGCAGCATCTTTGTCTCCATCACACTGAGACGGGCTTCAACTTCTTTAGTCGCAGGCCAGCATTCGGCACCATAAATCGCGACTGACACAAATGTCATGTCGCTATATGAATCTCGGGATATCTGCTCTGTCCTATATGTATTTAAAAATTTTTTATCCCATACCCTCCTTATGCATTTGGGACAGCAGTTTGCTTGTCCAATTAAAAATGATGAGCTAGTATTTATGCTGCATCTTTCGAGGTTCTTTGAAAACAGCTTCTGGGAGCTACTGCTATGACCCATTCTGTAGTTTTTGAGCTGATCTGGGCAGGGTCTCTGAACATCCCATACGACCCGAGCTGGTTTTTGGATCGCCAAAATATTCCATGATTACCTATAGACTGAGAAAACCAGCAATTTTTTCAGTGGTCAAGAAAAGCTTTCAAAAACTGAACCAACCTGCACAGGGAAGAGTAACCACCCATGAGATTACAATATTCCGGAATATCCTCCAGTCGATGCCTTTACGAGATTTGACGACTCCTACCGCAACGACGGATCCTACCTGAAAATGATTCAAAGATGAGATGAGGGGAGTTTTTCTTGCGCAAAGACAGTCATATTGATAGAACAGAAACAGTATGATAATGCAAGGATGGATGGCACGAGGATGCGACAAATGTGCCGAATATCAACACCAGGGTCATTTGCGTGAAAAGTCTGAGCTAAGGGTCCATTAACTCTGGGTAGGGAGCAGGATCACCCAATGGGAGAACTTTCAATATTTGGCGCTCCCCCCTTCACTAGGGGACGTCTCCTACACGATTTACCATGCTGCCATGGAGTCTTGATGTCGGTGTTAAGTAACGTAGCTAAGTAGCTTCCATCTTTACAACGAACGAACACTACCACAAAATTTGAACGATGCACCGGTGCATCAAATGAGGGTGAAGAGGTTATTACATTTCGTGACTGTTGACACGTAACAATTTTCAAAACTCTCCCAGTTTCGTCGGAACCCTCATCTATACAATAATCTGCTTTTCCCGTGCCCTTCCAATTTCTAGAAATGCAAATCCACTTCTCTACACACGGCTTACCTTGCCAGTACCCCAAAATACGACAAACTTGCTGGAGAATGCTTAGTAAACATCTAGACTGTTTGAAAGAGATTTCATTAGAAAAGGCCGCGTGGAAGAGTTGAAAGATTTCGGTTGATTGAGCCTAATGCAAGGGATGGAAGGAATACGTGAGGATGTTGGGGGGGGGGGAGGGTGGAAGAGTTGCGCTCGAGGGGTAAGCATTGATGACCAGTGTATTCATTCTGTAGAACTGGATGGTTTGCAATGGTGAGATTTTCAAACACTATTTTCTCATAGAAAAAATACGAAAACGTGAATTAAGTCCGTACCAAACAATGTGTGGTGCTGATGGGTAGGCCGAGTTTACTTGAGATCAAGTGCTGTCATAGCGGCGCCGAATTCGATAGTGAAGCCGCTAAAATAGAATCTCAGACAATGAAGTCAATTTCACTTTGGAGCTCTTTTGAAGTGAAACCTCCCCAAATTTGATGATTTCAATAATAAAGTCGTCACTTAGAAACCTGAACCTAGTTTGGGCATTCATTTTTCTGCTTCAAAGATGGGACCTTAACGACAGAAAGGATCTTTTTGGTTCCTCATTGATAAACAGTTGTTAAAGCAACAGTCCCAGCAGGGTTCTCACCTTCGACACTAATGGTGTTGAACGATGCGCTAGCCCTAGTCAAGAACATAAGAAGTGTGACTGAACAAAAACTCACCTTGGAAAGCCGCTGAAAGGGAGGTGAACGCCTTCGAAGTGGACGTGTCGGTCAGTAAGCCCCCTTGCCAGATTGGCTGCGTAGGATTTTCGTGGGTCGTGGATCGAGTTCAAATAGTCCCTGTGGTCCCAAATCGGTCGCAAATGCCTTCGCAGCCAATCACGCGATCTCCACGGCTGGCAAGAGGGGCTTACGATCGGTGGCCGACACGCCCACTTCGAAGGCGTTCAACTCCCTTTCGCGGCTTTCCAAGGTGAGTTTTTTGTTCAGTCACACTTCTTATGTTCTTGACTAGGGCTAGCGTTCAACACCATTAGTGTCGAAGGTAAAAACCCTGTCGGACTGTTGCTTTAATATATAAAAGCGACCTCCGTGACTGGGAAAGTGAGCATTTTTTTCCGGTCCCCTGTAAAAATATCAATCCACTCGGGGCGCCATCGAAATCCCATGCAGATAGCGTTAGAATCCAACGTTGAAAGGAATCACGATTTTTTTCCATTTTCTAGCGTGATCTTATTGATTTTGAGTACTCCAGTCTCAAAAATTTACTTCTGATTCAAAATTTTCTTTAGAGCTTACGTTGCCGGGTTGATTTCTGACATGTTGGTACCAACAGTCCGAATGACTCGATGTCCGAGGAGCCACAGTCCTACGCAGATAGCGAACACTCCATAGAGCAGGATGTAAATAGGCACCTGAATGTGGAGGAAATGGGATTTTCTGGTAATGATTTTTGATTTCTCGTAAACCAGCTCCCTTACCTCTCCTTCTTGCAGAGCGTTCTTGTCTGTGTATATGGACACCAGAGCGGTCAGAGGAGCAATTGCGTTGCTGAAACGTTGGAAATAAAAGTCAACTTCGATGAAATTATAACTAACTGAGTACCGTATCTAACGATAAGTGGTACAGCGAATCAACGAGCGAAGCAACCAATGCCCTTCTCAAACTATGAGTGAAAAGTTCACTGGTGTTTCAGTAGATTAAAAGCATGTAACATTATAAAATGGGCTTTGAACAAGGGGATAGCGAATATATTAATATTAATATTTTTCACAGCTGCACCTCTTCACAGCCTTCTTTCATACCCAATGAGCAGCCAATATATTGTGCTAAATATCTTCATGGCTTAGTACACGTTGAATGAATGGAAGTTGGCCGGGCACTATGCCTCACATCCTCCACTTTTCACTCTTTTTCTAGTAATGCTTCTACATATTCAGCGGGTCTAAAGAAGTTGTTCCAGTGAGAGTAGGGTTAGAGGGTTTTCTATCGCATCTTTTGCCATTAGCACTAGAATAAAATAAAAAAGAGAACTAAAAAACAGAGTTTTAGGATCCTTACCTTACATCATTGGCACCGTGGGCAAAGCCGGCAAAGCATGCGGTGAACACCTGTAAATGAGTATCATACGACTTCACGTTTATAACGAACCAGTTTAGCTGCGCACGCATTCGCGTGCATCACACGGGACTGCATTGGTATGAAACAGGGCCATTGATATTTTTATAGTTCACCGTGGGAAACTCCGCAAATCCTCGGTGGCGCCCACAAATAGCATTTGGCCCCATTCCTTCGCCAACCTTTATCCACTTTTCCCAGCCTCTGGGCTCTCTTTCAACCTCTGTAATATCACGTGACAAACTCCGCCTACTTCAACGCACGCTCCACCCACCAATAGCAGTTGACCTGCCTTCCGTTGACGGACTCAATCCTTTTTCTCGGTCCTCAGGACTTCTTGGAGCCGAGTTATGAATTTTCGTCGATAACTCCGCCCACTTTGGTCATGCCCCGCCCACCAATGACAGTTGGGCTCCACTCCTCCACCCACCTCTATCCACCTTTTTCCCGGTCTCCGGACTTCTTGGAACCGAGTTATGAATTTTCGTCGCAAACCAATGGTGGGAGTTCTTCTTAGTTCACTTCTAAATTCAAGAAAATCCTTACCTGAATTGTAGAGAAGAGTTTGATTGTGTGATCGTCTTCAACACGATCTTTATCAGGGAGGAACCAGCCCAGAAACGACCGCACGCCTAAATGAACAATTACATAGGATAGATAAATTGGAGTGAAAAGGTATAATCAAGAAATGTGACACGAGGTCCTATGAACATGGGAGGGTGAGAGGAAGTTAGGACTATAAACAAGAAAATTTCGTACTGCTAGAGTAGCCACTACTCTCGTTACTTGTTAAGCAGTGCGTGATTGATGAAGTCGAGCAGCACTTTTGAAAGTTCGTTTTGGGTAGAACGTTTCGTGAAAATGATATACGTGTGTACTGTCTACCTTGCATGAAAAGAGTGCGTTCGAACGCATTACATATGAATGGACTCCCAGATCGTTGGATCAGTTTTCAAGGAAGAACGGGAAGTTGTGAGCGCACACTAACTACATAGCTCTACCTTTTTCTGCCAGTCATGTCATCGTTCCTATTCCCGTGCCAGGAAACCCCTGTGGAACCACTATGGTGCCCGCATCAAACGCCACGACGACCCAGAAGGTGGTCGACAGAACGTCGTGAGTCGTTTCACTATCATGAGAATCGTCCACTTTCTTCTGATGCGTAGAGTAAGAGCTGCAACACTCAAGGAGTGGATCCTCACGTCCGTCGTCATTCAGGATCAGTTCACTTCTTTCACGAGCTTATGTGAAAAGTTCTTCATCAGAAACATTCACAAAAATAAATGTTGCTTTTCATATCCAAGATACGAAAACCAAGTTCGAAGGTCTTCAAAGGAAAGAAAACCAAGTTTGAAGGTCTTCAAAGGACGCCCTTCCGCAAATCCTGGAGCTATTAGGCCAATTCAAAGTCGCACAAGTGGAGACCACTACGAGCTCTCGTCCGAGCTTGAAAAATTACGCATTAAGCTATAAACTGGTTAGTACAGGAGTGGCCGTGCTGGCCAAAGCAACACAAGCTAATGTTCCATCCGCCAGTTCATGACCAAGATGGCCTATCTGCGACGTCCGGATGGAGCAAAAACTGCAACATGGGGAGCGATTTGGAATCCGTTCCTTCTTAAGGGCATGATGATTCCCTCCTTTGAACACGCATATCCACTTGCTCGTGCGCCATCTAAAGTGGGGTGGGCACGTGGTTTCGCCTTCTCACCTACCCCTTCGTCAGGCCTGACTAACGAGTGCAATTGATTCCTTTTCGCTGATTGACTTCACATAGAAAGACTGATAACAGTGTTTCAAAAAGGGGCTGTGGAGAAGAGTAAGATTGTGCCGAATGAAACCCCACTTCACCGCTTGGCCGTGGGATCGTATAAGACTACCAAATTTCAACAACTACCGATTTTCTGTACTGGAGAGAGTAGATTGTAGGGGAGATTTCTGAGATCACAGCATAACTCACTTTTGAAGCGCCCTCCTTGTTCAACGTCCTTCTCACTTTTTTGTTGATCGTATTTGTCCGTTTCCAAGTCCGAGTTGACCGTGACCGCATACACTATGGGCATTACAGACGATGTAGCTGTAACCATTTCTTGAGATTTCAGCTATCTTCGAGCCCACGAAAAAGGTGCGTACCTTGGATTTTACGATTGAATCGCGGTTTTAGCACGAACTGTACGAAAGCGGCGGCGATGAGACCACATCCCAAAGAGATTATGACAGCACCCCATACAGGAATTTTATCAAAGTGCAGCACTGAAACAATAAACTTCTACAAAATTATTTTGCTGGTTCATTTCAGCCAGATATCTTCATCTGGATGTTTAGAGAATGATAATACAAAGCATACGAACATCTTGAGCCGTCCAGAGTAATCATTAGTACATCAAACGCGATACAGATGAAGTAGAAGATTGGTAGCACACGGAGGCCACATTCAAGAGGCTTCTTCTGAAGCAACGACGATATAAATTTTGTGAAGCGCGACCACGGAACGTCTTTCATACTCTTGCAAATGCTTACCCTCCTTAATACGCTGAAGTCGACGATCATGTAAAGGATAACCGAGATAGTGCCAGAAAGTGCTGGTGATAAGAACCATGAAGCCACTGGAAAGATATTCTTTGTTGACGTTACCGATTATTCCGTAGAAAGTGATCAAAGAGATGTCCACACCTACCAATGTCTACGATTTTCATCCATCGAATACCATGAAATCCCCGCAGAACGATGGAGAAGCCAAGTGTAGAACCGACCAATGCATGAGTGGTTGAGACCGGCATACGAAATAAGGTGGCAATCAGAAGCCAACCGGCACATCCTAGATTATACAAAGTTTTTCGCGGTACCATGCTCTAGAGAAAACCCTCTTGAAATTTAGGCGAACAAATCTTTCAAGTCGATGTCGAGACTTTTCTTCAAATAAGGCATCCCATCTTTGTTCGTAGGGCAGCTAATGAGTAATCAGTAGTTAGTAATCAATTAAGTAGTAAGAGGATGATCAGTTTCAGAGCGATGAGCTCTGCTGTTGTTTTTAAGAAAGTTCACTGTTGACAAAGACCACATCCGTTTCCGGTCAACCTAATATTTTCTGGTTGTTATAGTCCACCCTGATATTCCAGATATTTCCAACTCCAGTATAGGTAGAGCTACGTTTTTAGGTTATCATAGGATTTACTGGAACAGCAGAATCACAAGCACAGCATAGTCGCATCATTTCCCAAAATTTGTGTAAACAACTTGTATCCAGAAATCGTCGGAGCTTCCCCATTCCTGAGTAAGCTTTACGCTTACCTGTTTTCTACTTGTGAGGTCAACACCGTTGGAGGGGATGCGCATTCACAGAAAGGATCTCTTGTACATGTACAGCTGAGGGATTATCGCATTGACAATAACGATACGTTGGGGTGATACCTCAGCCCTAGTGCCGGATCATAGGCTTTTGGTGAATGATCTCCATTCCCCCCGCCCACATCTTACTCTCCCACCCGTTCTTTGTTTTCCAGCTGGGACGGCTACTCTATGTGGAACGGTTGAGAGTATGCCCAGTTGGTGCTTATGCAGCAGTTTGAGTGCTTTGTCGCATCACTTTATAATGATATCTCATCAATGGATTAACCAAGACTTGTTGGCGCCTGGTATTTTCTTCCCCGCCCCTGTTGCGCTCTCCAGTTGCCACTGCAGTACCATGTTTTGGTGTGTGAGTGCGCTAGGTAGGTATTTACTATATAGCACTTGGGGACGTTATCAGAATCATGCCATCCTAAAACGTTGATATCGCAAGACCTGCAATTCTCAAATTAGTTAACGGTTGGCTTGCTCCCTTTTCTGCCCTATCACTTTTACACTAATTTGCAAACGGGCAGACATACAAAGCGCACCAGTTAAAGGAATCTTCCGCGGAAAAAGCTCCGCCTCCATTACCACAGAAAAACGATACCTTAGGCCCCTAGCCTCATGAGCATAGCAAAAAGAAGGAACATAAGCGTTAGTTTCGATAATACTAATCCTACACACAAGACAAAATGATCACTCTTTCCGTGGAAGATTCCTTTAAGGTATCGTTTTCTGTGGTAATGAGGGCGGAGCTTTTCCGTGGAAGATTCCTTTAAAGGCACAACCCGGACAGAACGATTCCCTTGGGCACTGGGATAGGCCACTAGAGGGCAATCACAGATGTGGCATTCCCGTGCACGGAAATCACCCGACAAGAGCGCTAGGGCCTTGCAAAGTAAGCTGCAGCAGCTGCAATTTTTTCTTTTATCAGGCTGTTGTCTGGCGCCCTCTCATCTGTTGCGCTCGCCTCATACTCTCCTCTCCGCGCTTAGTCTCTCATTCCCTTAGCACAGCCGATTAGGAAGGTGAGTGAGCCCTTAACCTGAGCGTTTTCGACGGATTCTTTTCCTTTTTTCTTTACTGCCGGCCCATTCGCACCTGTACATTTACATTCGTGTGTAAGAACCTCAACCTTCGATCCTGTGGCATGCCTTTCAAGGGTTTATATAGCAAAATAAAATAAATGAAGGAACTACGAACCTCCTAGTATTGCCACCTTGTCCTAGCATCAACTCCTTTGGAGTGTCGACATATTGTTCCGTGTCAACTACACCTTTTCGCATTGTGTCTGTCACTGACCAGCCTGAAGTGAAAATATTGTCGTTTTATCGATTATCTCTTATGTCAATACTGTGGGTTTTTGAGTCCTTTCTTCTCCATGATGAAGTCATTTTGAAAGCAAAATCGCAGCACGGCAGCAAGTCCGCAATTACAGTATTATTAGTGCTTTTCGTGAGCATTGCCTTCAAACTCTCTCTAAGTGACTCATTTAGTGGAATTCGTTCATTTGTCTACAAACTTTTGGAATTCCTTCTTAAATTTTTAATTTAGCGCCGGGTTTGCGACTGTGGACCAGGCCCATGGAACGGTTCTATCTATCATCTATCTATCCGTTCAAATTATCGCGAGATGCAACTGCTTTTATTAATACTATCTACAGCATCTCAGAAGAAGAATACCTGAGTTGCACTTACATCTGGCGTTTTGATCAGCCTGCAGTTGACGAAAACTGTTTCTACTCTGAAGAGCGCTCATTACCAACGAGTTTCAGTAGATTTGCACTCAATGTGTAGAAGCCGTATTTATTACTTTTTGGTGCAAAATTATAATACTTAGGTTTTTCTATATTGCCATACTCTGTAGTCGCACGGTTTGAAAACTTAACCTAACCTCTTCTAATAATGCTTTTTGTGCCGTTTTCAGGGCGGAAGTGGTGTAGTGGCAAGTGGCACGCTTACCACGCGAGCGGTCCGGGGATCAAATCCTGGGTCGTGAGTCGCCCGGGCCAACCAAGCCTTCCATCCCTCCGGGGTCGGTTAATTGGTACCAGACTTGTCTGGGAGGATAAAAACACTGACTTGTACATCGGCTGGCCCCCGCAAGTCATTGTATAGGCCACATCGCATTCAAACGCCACTACGAATGTACAAATGGAAGTAGAATGCGTGCCGCATCCCAAAAAGGGATTGATCAACGGCAAATGCTTTATCCTTTTTTATCCTTTATTCAGAAATATTCCTTCGTAGCTGCTCTACTGAATGGGATTGCAGCGTAGAAAACAAACACTCGGATATTACTCCTGCATGTTCCAGAGAAGAATACAGGCGCTATTGGAGCTGCTCGAACAGCTCGATGGAAGGGGTGGGAGGGGGGGAGCACATTATACAAGGAACAGTGATGGAACTTCTACAGCTGATAAATGCTTTGAAAAGACATTGAAAAATCACTCACCCACAAGTACGGCTCCAAGCGTTTCAAATATACTGGCCAATATGTAGGCCTGTATTATCGTTAGTACTCCACTACCTACAGAAGTACCGAAAGCGTTCGCCACATCGTTGCCTCCCATTCCAGCACCGAGAAGGAACGCAAGTATAACACCAATGATCAGCGCCCACAACATGGAATGCTGAAAATTGACAAATTCTTAAACAGATGGACGTGCTCTTGGCGCAGCGGGCTTGCTAACCATGCTAAAAAGGCTAAGATTGTGGTCAAAAAGAATCGTTCCCGAAGATTCCTCGCACTCTTTTGCAATCAGTTGTGATCACTAGAGACAACGTACAAAGCTTCACGCAAGGAGATTCAGTTCACGAAGAAAACAAACTTACTGAAACCACACTCTATGGACGGTCGAGGGTAGGTCGGGTGGAAACAGGGAGCGCATGGAAAGAAGTGCGCCCGGGCGGCCAAGTATTAGGTGACGACGAAAGAGCTAATGAAAGCGTTCGAATTCGGAATAAAGAAAAACGCGCGGGGTGAAAAGGACCAAAAGAGTTTCTAGTGAGGTGCTCTAAGACCAAGTGAATGGTTATATTGTCAACATCTTGTGTCAGTAATGAACGGGGGGGACTTTTTATAGCGCCGCGATTCATTTATCCGGATTATTACACGAGAACACATTTTTTTGTTTTTTCGTTCTCAGCACGAGTGGTGGGTCTCAATTCCACTTCAATCCAATCTCGAGTTTGCCAGTGTTCATAGGTAAAGACAGTGTAGTAAGATGCGATACATGCTCTATGGCCTATGAAGCAGAAAATTGATGCCTCAGCACAGTTGATCCCAATCAGAACACTTTTAGTGAAACTCCAATAATTTTTTTTCGGATTTTTCGTCCTCTTTTTCCTGCACTCGAAAATTATTGCCATTGATAGACATGCCATTAGATAAGATTTTGACTACCAATGTGTCCGTAATAACTTCGTATAGCATTGCGTTCCGAGCTTCGGGAACGATTCAGCAAATGGTGGTAGCGGAAGAGGTGATAGGAAGCAGAATCCAACAATACAGACTTTTCAATCTTCCGTAAATGTGTTCAGGAGGGCGTATATTGATTCTACTTGGTTCGGATGCAGCAATCTTCTGCTACTTGCCCAGGCGGAATGACATGATTAGCAGCTACTATCTAGAAAAAAATTCATGAGGAATAACGTCCATGATCACTGACAAAGTGCTTCTATAATATCGAAGTGGGAGAAATGTATCGGAATAGAAGCGACAAGCAGAATCGAACTAGGGAAGAAGTGGATATATGAAATGAGACAAGTATCATGGTATGTGGTTTCGGACGCTGATCTCGAATCTTCTTCCCAAATCTGCCAAACGATTCGCTGAACGGAGTTACGGAGGTTTTTTGTTCCCTCACACAGTTTAACACAGTGAGGAATCGGCCTCAGCAGCAGCGGCTGTGAACGAAGCAGTGAGCCTCTTTGATCGGGTGCTGGTGGCCTGTGGTTAAGGTGGGTGGCCTTGGGATTTCGGGGTCAGTGGTTTGGATCTCAGCGTGTTTTGCATTGTGATGCATTTTGGCAAGTAGTGGGAACATGAATCTTATCATTGGCAGCCTTCTTTTTTGGATGAGTTGATGGCTCGCATTAACTTCGAATATTTTCCCATGTGTCGTATTGCCACTACATAAGGTTAAGGCGCGCCAGTATACGGAGCGCACGCTTCAGCTGTTTCGGAGTGAGTGAAAGTGAGAGATCTGTTTCAAGTAGTCCAATAACTCCTGGGGCCAAATTTCAGAGAAATTCGAGATTTTGAATTAATTCAAAAAAACGTGGGTGAGCCTATGATGCTACATATCCATAGCCGGTTAGTTCCAAGACTGACGGTTGTGGGACGATCACGGAGACCTTTATATGTAAAATAATAAAATGGGGGTGTGAATATGCAACAGTAACAGATGACTGGCTTGACACTCTCAGAAACCAAACGAGACTGTCATAGTTGTTCCAGATATATAGGCATTCGATGATAGGTGATGGCGATGAATTGGAGAGATGCCATCCAGTTTATTCGCAAGTTTGCGTCGAAAATTTCAAAATTGGGTACAAACTTTGTCTCTATGGGCTAGTGTAAATCTCACGGAACACATATCACACTCGTTTGCTGCAAAAACGTCTGCCGAAAGTTCTGTGGGGTCCATGTGCAGTCTAGTGAGTACCGCAGAAACTGATTAGAAACTCCTCGCAAAGTCTTTGCACGGGTAACTACAGGCAAGCATTGATCGAGTAAGGTAGTGGGAGCCTTTTTCATCATTTTGCAGCGAAGGCAAAAAAGAACCCGCCAGGGAATCGATCCTACGACGTCTCGCACGTGAACCATGGTGACTCTACGCCGACTTTCCTTCATATACTCTATTCGGAATAATCAGGTTAGGCAAGTTTTGGAAAGGCAGATCATCAGATCAGACGGTCCAAAAAACCGCATCACCAGTTGTTAGAACTCGTTTACATATGCCATTATCGCAACAACCACCCTTCTGTAATATTAGTATCATTTAACGTGGCAGTGAGGCATGCATGGATTTGAATTGTGATCCTATTGAAAGAAAACAGTGCCAGACACACGTAACTACATTCATCACTAAGGTGTTCTGCGGCAACTCCTTATAATTCGACGATCAAACCTCCGACTCACTGATTCTATCCCTTTTGAAAAGCCAATGATACAATTTGGCAGTTAGAGCATTCGCAGTTGGCAACGAATTAACATAGCGCCACTTGCGGATGAAAAAAAGTAGTGAAGAGAAATATCTAGCTCTGCTTTCCTCTATGATAATGGTTCAAATTATAGTCCAGAAATCGATTACAGTACCTGGTCGAAAGTCGCCGCCGTTTGCATCGTTGTCGTTACTAAATCCATTTTCTGCAAAGCCATAAATTAATCTGATTGAACTTCAAATGAAAAGAAAATGTGCGCACGATAAACTCAAGAAGCCATCAATCAAAGTACAAATCGAAAGGAAAAAGCTAGTGGAAGCAATGGATAAGGCGGTGTCTAAGAGAAAGAGACAGCCCAAGGTAGAGCTGGTCAGCGACGCAAGGATGAAGAAAAAGTAAGTCAGCAAGTTGGAGATGGTCAGTGATGCACGAGAAGAAAAAACCATGAAAAACAATCTAGAACCCAAAAATGACCACTTCTTGGCCCGCTATTTCCGCCTTCATGCGACTGTATCGGAGCTGCCCTATTGACGCTCTCTGTGCCAGGCGGCCAGAGACAGACGACGAGTGGGTGGGCGGGCCGCGTCGATAGCGTCGCGGGACGGTCATGCTGAGTCACCGGGAGTATATTCTTCAGTGCAAATTGCGTGTCGGTCCGCACTCTCAGGAGGTCCGCCTATTTTCCCCTGGGTACATCCCCATCTTGGAACTTCAACCTGCATCAATAGAATAAGTAAGTTTCTAGTGGACGTCTGAGTTACAGTTGTAGCCAAAGAAAGCAAATCGGAAGCGAAAATTTAAACAACCACCTCCTTAAGCACTCTATTTTTTACTTCAGAAGCACATGAGAGATCTTTCAGTTCGCACGAACTTCTCAGCTGAAATGCTAAAGCGCCATACAATCGATATTGAAAATAGTAGTCGTTAAAATGCTCAATAACTTGTAAGAGGCAACATATAATGTCTTGAATTCTACTAGATAAATTTTGTATTTGAGGTGACTCGAGGAAAATTCAGTAGGCCTAAACACAATTTGATCCTCGCAGATTTAACTAAGGTAGTGCGACTTCTTTACCGGCTATTCGTGCGAAAGCAGACTAATAAGGGATGATCGATGAAAGAGCTCGAACTAAAATAGGACATTTCTCGACAACGTCATAATTTCCAACTTAATAAGCATTTTCAAACAGTATTCGGAATGTTCACGCATATTATGCCCGCTATGATTGTCCTTGTAGGCACTACACCAGAAGAAGATTTTTATGGACTTTATTCAAACAGAATGAATGCTGACGACCAAATGGAGCAAAACACGCACCTTAGGTAACCTCTACCTGTATCAGTGAGAACGTCTGAGTCGCCGATTGTCAATGTATTCAATTAGTTATCGTAGGATAGGTAATCTACTGAGGATACCTTATACACTACTTGTTCTGTTACAAAACCAAATATCAGTAGTACAGTTGGCGGCATATTTTTCTACTAGTACTACAATAATTCTTACTCTTGTTCATGATTCGCCATTAGAACGACATGAAAAGCGCGAAGCATGAAGAAGTTGTAGTTGAAGACGAGACAAAATTGAGAGTTTTCACTCCCCGAAATGAATTCACGTGAAAGCTGTATCAATTGTAAATCAAACTTCTCCTTAGCAGCAACAAACACACTATAACAATCCAATTGTTATAAGTATTGTTCTCGCCGTTTGAAGTCGAAAATTCACGCGAATAACGCGAATCCTCGTATATGTATTTATTTATTTAGTTATTTTATTTCTATTTATTCACACACTCAAATGAGTGAACAGGGGAAGGCTGGGCACAATTTCAGTACGGAGCAATGAGTGGAGGGAGAGTGTAATCGTGACTTTTCAGCGGAACGGTAGCAGCGGATCGAAAATCCTAACTCAGCTCGCAAGAAAGTTAAAAATGAATAAAAGCAAAGAAGTCAAATAAAAAGATAGGGAAGAAAAGAAAAGAAAGCATAACGAACAATGGGTCAATTTGCGCAACGAGCAAGTGTCAGGTCAGAGGAGATTCAGAAACACCTCATAGCTCAACTTTGAAATTCATTTCCTATTTTTATTTATACAAAGGTCCCTAAGTTGTTAGCCAATGGATGGTAATCATTCAATGTCAAGGTTCTTAGAATAAAAAATAAGAAAATTTATTTCAAAATTTGGCAAAGGGGTTTATCGGAATTTTCCTTTTAGCCTAATACAATCAAATGTTCAGGGAGCAAACAGGATGCAGAATGATGTGATGGCGATCTAGAAATGATTTGTCAAGGCAGCTTGCAGCGAATAAATAAATGCAATTATAGAGTGCGATCATTTCGGGACTAGAAAGGGCTCTGAAGGCTACATTCTAAAAGCAATCCCAACCCTTTGTATGATGTGCTGAGACCATGAAGGACAACTAAGGAAAGTATAATGTGTATAAAAAGGAGGCGTCGTTGA